TGTAAATATATAGGTCTAGTAATAAATCTAAATATAGATGTTTGTAGCTACACAACAGATGATTTCCAGATGAAGCACTCTTTAACAGACATTGTCAAGATGTATTTGTGTGCTATCTTTCACAATCTGCTCTCTTATAAAGTTCCTCGTCCAGTGGTCATCAGAAGCTTCTGCAGGGTGCTGAAGATCAAAGTGGACAGGTGTGTTACAGAAACAGCTGCTCCTCTGGTTAATGGTCTTCATCAGTGTCTCCCAGGATCTGCTGAGTAACGGGAAGGAGCTGAAGGAGGTGCGCAAGTGTAACACGACGAGTGTCTAAAGTCTCTGAGCACTCAGAGCCTTTACCAAACGCAGCCGGCACAGATTAACCAGCCTTAGAAAACTTGCAACAAATGTTTGTTTAGACACATTACACCAGTAAAACAGAACTCTTCTCTGGAGACACACTTTCTGGCACATCTCCTAGTGTATATATACACACACTCTATGGTTTTCTGTCCTCTATATCTCACAGACTTGCAGCTGTCGGTGAGATTAGACATTTAGCAGGTGTCTATTTATAGTGCGGGTTAAACAGATCACAATGGTACGTCAGAACTTCTGATCCTGCTGTTTAACAGCTAACCGAAAACGAAGACATACACTACATCATGGCATGATTCAGACCTCTGAGCCTCTGCTGTCCGTCAGCAGGTCCAGACTAAACCTCAGCTGGCCTCAGAGGTGGTGAGATGATTTGGACCGTGCTGCAGATGCCTGACAGTTTGTGGCATATGTGCAAATAGCTGGATACTCTTAGAAGCTCCATTAAGAAAACCAGTCAAGAGTGTTAACATAGACACACACAACGGGGTCCAAAAGACCACACTGGAAAGAAAGTTTTAAGGTTTGGAAATGATATGATGTCAAATGGATTAGAAGCATTTCATGTGAACTCTGATTTTCTTGCTTCGACTGAAGATGATCAGCATCTAATTATGATTATCAGAACATGAACATGATTATCAGGTTTTGTTCATGCATGTCCACTGTGAATTAATTTAATTACAGTTTTCACTCAATTTGTTACGAGTTAAATTTTTAGCTCCCTTGTAAAAAAAAATTATCCTAAAGGATTTCAATAAAAAAAACATGTTCTAATTACAATTTCTATCATAATTTTGAATTATTACTACTTTTTTTTTTTTACTAAGAATTATATATATATATACACTGTATATATATATATATATATATATATATATATATATATATATAT